TCGTTATATCATGCCTTCATGTGCGCGCGCATGTGTATGTGATTCTTCATTATCTATGTTGTCAATTACACCCGATTTACATCAAAATGAAGCGACTTTAACTTAGCAGTCCGTTTTTCTTTCTTTTTTTTTTTTTTTTCTTTTTCTTTTTAGACGCACGTGCGATCGAACGGACGGACGATGAAGTCACAGATTGTATTAGAGATTATATTATTATCTTTGTTACCATTATCACTTTCATCATTATAATCCATATCACATGATTTTACTTTTATCGTATCATTAATTATCATTATTATTACTGTTATTATTATCATTATCATTCATTTTAATCATTATCACTCATTGTTGTCATGATTGTTTATCATTATCATCATCATTATAACAATATCACAATAGTATTTTTAACCGTATCAAGCATAATGCTTAAAGGCGTAACAGGAATTTTGAAGAGAGAGAGAGAGAGAGAGAGAGAGAGAGAGAGAGAGAGAGAGAGAGAGAGAGAGAGAGAGAGAGAGAGAGAGAGAGAGAGAGAGAGAGAGAGAGAGAGAGAGAGAGAGAGAGAGAGAGAGAGAGAGAGAGAGAGAGAGAGAGAGAGAGAGAGAGAGAGAGAGAGAGAGAGGAGAGAGAGAGAGAGAGAGAGAGAGAGAGAGAGAGAGAGAGAAATACATATACACACACATACATACATACACACACACACATGCATACATACATACATACATATACTCACACAGACACACACATCTGCCGTGTGTGTAAGTAATCACTCAAGGCTGTGAGTAACTTGAGGTGAGCTGTTTCTCTCTTTCGTGATGTACACCCACACTCCATCACCACCACTACCAGAATGATAGCACCCACAATGAAAACACTAATAAAGGCGATAACAGCATCATATAAGTCCTTGTATATACTGGTTTTCAGTGGTAGCAGTAAGGTATAACTTGCTAACTTAATATTTAATACTGAAAATCCCAGTCTCAGGAAACGGAAAACTGGTCACATCCCTATTCGGAAAATAATGATAACGTGGTGTAAAGCAATAAATAATAGTGCATAAAGTATATTTTTAAAAAGATACTAAACATATTTAAACATAAATATTAGGTGTTTGCTGGTTAGAATAAAAGGAAAGAGGAAAAAAAAGAAAGAAAGAAAGAAAGAAGAAAGAAAGAAAAGAAAGAAAAAAAGAAAGAAAGAAAGAAAAGAAAGAAAAAGAAAAAAAAAAGAAAAGAAAAAGAAAAAAAAAAAAGTAAAATAAATAATATAATATATATATATATATATATATACACCAACATCCATGTAAACTGCTCATAAGCCGTTCAACTTTTGTCTAAAGAGCCATACATAAGGCATTGGTGAACTTTTCAAAATTGGATATTACGTTGGCAAATTATAGCTAACTGCTACCAATTAAAACCGCTACCAACATGGATATACAAAGATAATATTACTACTAATATTACTTTTTATCAGTGCTTTTATTCTGCCCTTATTCTGGCAGTGGTGGTAATGATGATAGTGATAATGGTGATGATGAAAAAAGGAGTATTACCTGTAGTGATAGTTTTGGCCGTACTATTGGTAACAATGGTAGCAATAACAACAGTAACAAAAACAACAATAATAATGATGTTAATGAACATATTATATTAATTGAGACGATAATTAATGATGATGATGATGGCGATATGATATGATGATGATAGTATTATCATTAATAATAATGATAGATTAATGATGATGACGACGAATGATGATGATGATGATGATAGTATTACCATTAATGATGATGGCGATGATAATGATAATGATGACGGTATCATAATTAATAATAATGATGATAGCATTACCATTAATGATAATGATGACGATGATAATAAAGATGATAGCATTATCATTAATGGTGATGATGATGATATTATCACTAATGATGATAATGACGATGGGGATAATAATAATGATGATAATGACGATGGGGATAATAATAATGATGATAATAATGATAGTAATTATAATAATATTAATAATAATGATATTGATAAGAATAATAACAACAAAAATATAATAATGACAATAATAATAGTCCCGATAATGATATGATAATGATAATATAAAGACAATAACAACTACAACAGCAATAAAAGTAATAATGATAATAATAATCATGATAATAATAATATGATAATAATATTGATAACAATATTAATATCAATAATGATAACCATAATAATAACACTAATTATAACAATAACAATAAGTGATAATAATAACAAATGCATCAACAACAGCAATAATAATGATAATGATAATAATAATAACAATGATAAAAATGGAATTTATAATGATAAATATATTGATACTACTACTACTAGTAACAAAACATAAGAACAACAATAACAACAACAACAGTGATAATAAGATAAATAACAATGATTATTATTATCATAATAATAAATATAACAATTATAATAATTATAGTAGAAACAACAATAATATTAATAGTGGTGATAATAATAACAATCACAAATAAATAATACGGTAATAATCGTGATAATACTTAGAGCAAAAACAATAACAGTAACTACACAATAGAACAACATCATTTATAATAATAAGAAACATGTAAAGATTCACCAGTTATAAATACAGGTCTTGAGCACATGTCAAGTAATAAAATTAACCGTGGCAGAATCTGAAGTTTCTTATTTACTTTATGAGTTGTGAATCATATAACGTTCTTGCTGTAAATATTTCGATCATCGTTAACAACTGCATATTTAGGTTCCATCATATTTTTCTCGTGAAAGTATGAGTGCCGAGAATACTCGTAAATTCCATCTTCAAAGGAAATAACAAACGCAAATATGCCAGAAACACGTGACAGACAGAAATAATAATAGTAAGTACAAAAAGTAGTGATGCTAATATGGCAACATGCACACACAAGCCAAACAGTTGTTCTGTGCCACTTTATATTTGAGCTTTTTTCCTTTTCATTGACCAGCTCTTCTTATCATCGATAAACGCAAAACTTGCAATACAATACAACACGATTTCACTATAAATGAGTTATCAAAATATCAGCGTGCGTCACGAAACGTACCACAACGTAAATACCCGTTTGGCACCTCGCTGGGCATGGGGAAACTAGGGGTGGGAAAGCAAGTGATTCACAAACCTTCCGTAGTACAGTAGCGTGTTTAACTTGTTCGGAGGAGGAAGTGTGTGCTGTTGAATTTACGTTATTCTGAGGGGTGTGAGTGAAACGTTTGTTATTTGTGAGGAATTAGCGCAGTGCCTGTTGGGAATGCTGGCGTGGAGTGGTAGTTCATGGTGATTTTTATTGGTTAATAATTTGACTCCGTGGAAATTTGTTGTTTCACTATTTACGTCATGACGTTTACCTGGCCGTATACATGTAAGCAAGCAGTGATTAGACAATCTGTTGGAATTAAATTGACTGGTAAATAGAGCTATCAGAGAGAAAGTGACACAAACGAGTGCCATCATGAATCACACATACATGAACACAGGAGTGCCCAAGCATCAGAATGGCCCTGCCAAGGTGGTGGACATGGATATGGATTTCGTAACGGATGCAAACGTTTATTACAACCTACCCCCTCCGTTGCCATCGGCTAATTGCCGGGGCACGTCACTTCCTCGTGGCCACCATTCCCCTCAGCATCAGCAGATGAACAGGGCATCTTCCTCTTGCCCCGCATCGCCCAAGCTTCCCTGCTGCTCCTCCTCTCTCGGAAAGGTGGCCTCCTCCTGTCACGGCCACCCTGTGCCAGTGACAAGGGAAGCAAACCTTCCCTGCCGCCCGCCGTGCCAGAACGAGGCGACCCGAAGTCGAAACACGAGAAACTGTCGCACACTCGTTCCTTCGACCTGGATCACATCTACCAGAACCTCTGCACGGCTGTCAAGGGCGCCTCCAAACCGCGGAGCAATTCCTTTAGTATCCCGTGGCGGCGGAAGAAGAAACCGCAGGAGGCTTCGCCGGGGATCGCGGAAGAGGCCCGCGAAGAGGGAGGGGGAGGAGGGGGGAGCGGCACACCCCAGCCCCTGGCCAGCCCAAGTGTCACGTCCAGCACCAGCAACGCCGCGGAGAACGGGAGCCCGAGATCGCTGCCCGACACCCGCGGGAGCAGAGCCAGCCTCAATAGCAACAGCGACAACAGCAGCGACAGCAGTAACGATGAAGACGACGACGGCGATAGCGACTACGACGACTACTGGGCCGAGGTGTGTCCCAGCGTGACATACATCAAGAAGGACCTGCCCGCGCCCCGCATCCCCGCAGGCGACGCGAACGCAGAACAGGACGAGGAGCAGACGAGCTACAACACCTCGGCCACCCTGCCCCTCCGCGCCGCCAAGGGCCCCAAAAAGGACGGCGGCGACAAGGAGCAGACAGTAAATTTCGACTTGACGGCCAATTTAGAAGAATGGCGTCAGAAAGCAAGATGGTTGGAGAGGAAACGCAGATCGAAGGACATTCGAATTACAGGTAATGATAAATGAATTGCTATTCATACCCATTTTATGGACAAATTACCGACCGTGCGTGATTTAGAAAACATTGGCTGATTTAAAAAAAATATTTGATGTTTAAATATTTCTCATGTAGACAGCTTACGAAATGGTAAGAAATGTAGGCCTTTCACTTTATAATCGGACTTCAGTCAAATTTTGATTTTACATATACGCGATTTTCGCACTTTTAAGGTAGATAAATAGCCCCATAATATCTTCATTAAAAATGAGTGAATGTAAGCACCCGTGAGCAAGAGTGTGCATATTGTGGGTGAGAAAGTGAAATAAAGAAGTATTCAATGTGTCTGATTTTGCGTTCACAGTGGAGTTGGTAAAATACTCGTCACTACATAGTATAATTATAGCTCCATCTAACGTTAATCATTGTAAACTGAATGGCGAATAACTATCCCGACTAATTGTGCTTATCTGGTCCACTTTTTACCAAAGCAGTGTCATAATTTTCGGCCCGATTATCACCACAGATTTGTTCCTTTGCCATAAAGTTCCAGTTAAAGATGGCGTGTTGACATATGCGGCTGTTCCGATGGCATCTTCCTCGCTTGGCACTTGTTGCTCGTCATATTTAATATGTCTGGATGTTAATATGATCGCATTTTATCATTGGAGCTGCCGACGTTTGGGGAGGAAAGGATTGTATTTGAGTAATTCCGCCAAATGTGGTCGTGTAATTTAAGACGCTAAGTGTTAAACGTGAATATTTGGAGATTGGAGTAAAAGGTAATGGGGAAATACCAAGATTGTGATGTCGTTAAAGCTTACCGACGTATTTTAAAAGCAGGGATACTAGGACTAAAGTTAGAACGCGGTTTACAGATTCTTTGTGGAAACATCTGGATATAATCATGACCTCGATTGAGAATTACCGAAACATCTTGTGTAGCAAACGTTGAAATTAAAACAAAAATTAACATCTCAAAGAGAGATAGTAAGTAATGGAAGATCCTATTATTTTCTTTCAAATTTACAGCCTCTGCTTTGAGAGAGAAAACATTCTTGTCCATGCTTTTAAAGATGAAAGATAACAGATTTGTAAAGTGGAAATTCTGTGCAATAAGACGACGACCACAACAACACAAACACAACAACAACAACAACAACAACAACAACCAAACAAACAACAAAACAGACTTCACCAATCAACAACAAAAACAACAAACAACAAACAAACAAACTTCACCACCAACAACAAACAAAAGCCACCAACAGCAAACCAACACCAGGGGAAATACCTAGCCTACTGCAGGTCTAACACAAACAAATTGGACTGCGCGCGGACAAATTCCCCCAGTACGAGCTAACAAACCAGGCACAAACAAGAATTTCAGACGTAAACAAATCGACTTCACGCCCATGCCTTGGCCTAAGTCGTAAAATACATTCCGGAAATATCAGCGGGCGGGCGAATAATCAAGACCCGCTGTTAACGCCCACACTTAAGCAGCTGTAACACACGAGAACACGAACGCCAGGAGAATGCCAGTGTGTGGTACGAACGTCTGTGTCTGTAGAGCATAGAAATACCCGCTGACAGTGTATGGCCTACGTAAGCTGACGGAGAAGAGCGCCCGCTACAAACAAACGGCGCCGAATATAGATACATGCACATGACCTCAACGCTCGCACTTAACACCCAAATGCCTCCTTCTCACGTTAACACATGATTTTAACACCCACGCATGCCGTATTCACACTTCGGTGTAACCCGTGTATTACACAAAGATACGTTTTCGCTCAACGATGATCCTTCATGACTCAGTATGATCGGCCAATGATTGTCTAGAGCACTCGTTCTTTGTTTTTGAATGGGGCGCTTTTGCTTCGAGCGACTGCCGCTAGAGTCGCCAACGATCACCGTTGTCTCGTAACAGTTGAGCAGCTGCCGGGTGAATAGAATCGCAATCGTAAACGATCATTTAAGTTGGAAGGGGTTTCTGTGGCACCATGGATCCCGTCTCCCGATGAACAAGATGAGATCCATATGGAGGATCGATTCACACAATTTCTGAAATAATCCCTCTTCATTCCTCATTTCAAATGTCAAATATTATTTTAGCCCATTTTCTCCCATACACTTGGAAAAGAACTTAATCTTCCATATCTTCTATTAGAAGATAACCTTTTCCTGCTTAATTTGCTCAAGAGCCATTTTCTCGTGACACTACCTTCACGGGACACTTCTGCCACGTGACTCGTAAAAAAAAAAAAGCTGTCTCTTCGAAAATCGCAGAGACGCAGACGCTCGAAGCAAAATAGTACACACATTACAATCAGTAATCGTTGAAGAATAATCGTAGAACGATATTCGCGATAATTGTACCGAGCAAAGCTTGCCTTAATACGCATTTTTTCGCACTTGCGCACATCCCGATCGACTTTGGTGTGTAATTAATTATTGCCGCGTTGCAATAGAGATGCACAGTTGGCAAAATATATTGAACGGCTCTGAACTGTATGTTCAAATGCAATTGCACACGAAGCAAAATAAATGGTAAGTTACATTCTTACTTAATGTTGATACTGATGTTTGAAATATCTTAGGTAAATAAAAAAATCAGTTTAGACTTCCGTAGCGATAGAAATAAGTAGGGTCCAGAGGTTGTTTCTTAAAGGAAGGTATGCCGACCTCATATTTTTAACGAATTTGTTTCATAATATCTAGAAATTACCGTTGGTCTTTCGATTGAGGGCCTATCGGAGGTCAAAAACAAAAGCACATTATCATTATTCTTTTACTTGGCCTTATATTTGTAATTTGAATTGATTCAAAGACAACAGAATCGTGCGTAGAATGGCGATAGGTGAAACGAAACAAAATTGAGGTGCATTAAATCAGGGGTCGCGGATTAAATCTCGTTTGCTCTATTTACATGGTTATATTTTGCATGTTAATTTAGAGGCCCCGGGACTGATTGTGCGATTGTATTTGCATGTATGTGCGCAGGTGTGCATGTTTGTTTACATGGGTGTGTTTGCATCAACTCTTGCCAATGTTTGTACACAGCCAAATTTTGAAGAAAAATAAAATGTCAATACTCATAGTGCAGAGCTCTTCCCCCCCACCCCACCCACCCCATCCAGCGTAGGGAGGAGGAACGGCGGGGGGGGAGGGGTGGGTGGGGGTTAGGGAGAGCCAAGACACATGATCGCCAGGTGGATTTCGTCCCTCTTGTTGCTGACTCATGCCGCCTTTGCTCCCCCTGTCTCAACGACGGGTATTTTTACGGGGCTGAATCAGTCGTGGCTTCGTTGAGGCGCGGGGGTCGAGGGGGGGGGGCGATTTTTCAGTTTCAGGGAACGAGCTTAAGGTAAATGTGACATTTTGATGCGCGGACATGGACATGCGCACGCGCAAGCACGCGCTCACCCACACGAATATTCGCGCGTCGCACAACGCACACGCACGCACACGCACACGCACACGCACACGCACACGCACACACGCACACTCATCACACACACACACACGACACACACACACACATGCAGGAAGAGAGAGAAGGAGAAGAAAGAAAAAAGTTTTTTTTTTTTCAAAATTATTTTGTTTTTGCCATTGTTATTGCTGTTTCGCCTTAAATGCTCTTTTTGAACATTTTATTTTTGCTGGTGTTCTGTCTCATGGTAATGATCTTAATAATCATCATAGTCGCCTTAATAATCCTCTCTTCTTTCTCTTTCTCTACCTCTATCTCAATCTTTTCTGTTTCTCTTTTCCTTCCTCCTCCTCTTCCTCCTCCTCCTCCTCCTCCTCCTCCTCCTCCTCCTCCTCCTTTTACTCTCTTTCCTTCCTCCTCCTCCCTCCTCCTCCTCCTTCTTCTTCTTCTTCCTTCTCCTTCTCTCTCTTCCTCTTTCTCTTCTCTCTTCTTCCTCTTTCTCTTTCTCTTTCTCTTTCTCTTTCTCCTTTTCTCTTTCTCTTTCTCCTCTTTCTCCTCCTCCTCCTCCTCCCTCCTCCTCCTCCTCCTCTTCTTCCCTTCTTCTTCTCCTCTTTTTCTTCTCCTCCTCTCTTCTCCTCTCCCTCCCTCCTCCTCCTCCTCCTCCTCCTCCTCCTCCTCCTCCTTCCTCTCCTTCCTCCTCTTCCTTCCTCTCCTCCTCCTCTTCTTCCCCCTCCTTCTTTCTTCCTGCACACACACACACACACACACACACACACACACACACACACACACACACACACACACACACATATACACACACATAGTGTATGTATATATGCACATATATACATACATACATATACATAAAAATATACACATGCATGCATACACATATATGTATATGTAGATGTGTGTGTGTGTATGTGCCTCTCACATGTATATATAATATTGATAGTTCTTTGTAGTCTTTACGCGAAATGCGAAATTTTAAATTTACTAATGTTTTTATTTTCTGAGGGATCGTCCTCTCGTCCCAACAGGACTTTGCGTTCCTTCTTCGCCGCGACTTGAAAAGGCGCCGGTACGTGGCGCTACTGCACCGCGATGACGTCATGTAAACATCAGGATCCGTCTGAAATTCCCTTGTCAAACAAACCCCCTCTTCGGAGGCGCCGGTTTCAGAGTCTTTCGCTCAGGTCGCTTCCCCACGAAGGGCGCGGGCGCACAGGCGAAGGTAGGGAACGATTATGGGAAGGGCGAAGCGCGGGGAAACACGTGTTGTGGTAATTGGGGTCTAAATATGGACCATCGTTAAAAATGTGGCGTATGTTTAAAAGGGGGAGGCGGGGCGGGGCTGGGGTTGTGCGATGGGGGGTGAGGGTAAGATGGGTTGGGGAGGGAGGGGAGGGAGGGGGGTTGGCCTCGGCGGAAATGATACGCTCCATCTAGAAAGCCACGGGCGTGTCTCCTTGTGGTTGTCTCGCGCCCAAGATAAACGTGGGCGGGTTGGCGGCGCAGTGTCACGGCCACACCGGAGGTTAGGTTAGGTTTTCCTCGCTCTTCCCCGTAGATGAGCAGC